CCCCCCCCCCCCCCCCCCCCCCCGAAAAAAAGGCATCAGGAAGACTGGCCGTATTATAGCATAACTCAAATTGGTTGTGAAAGTTTGGAGTTCACAGCCTGTCAGAGAGAGCTGGAGGGCGGCAAAGGTATTCAGAAGGATGGAGCTCAGCATGTCGGAGAGAATGGGGGCCTCGCTCCATGATTTTTCACCAAATGCACAAAAGACAAAAATTATGGTGGTGTATCATTTCATGTTCGAGCGGGATGTGTTCATCCTCATTTTGCACAATTGGTGAGTAGCGGAGCGAGGCCCAATGCAAGGGGGTCGTGATAGAAGCATCTTTTGCTGTTTTAAGCCTTAAGATAAAAGGCATGATTACTAATTAGCATAAATATTAAATTTGTAATGGATTTGCAGTTTGTCGACATGTTTGTGACCGTCGTGTGGACTCTGGTCTGTGTGTGTGTGTGTGTGTGTGTGTGTGTGTGTGTGTGTGTGTGTGTGAGAGAGAGAGAGAGAGAGAGAGAGAGAGAGAGAGAGAGAGAGAGAGAGATGACATTGCAGACTTTGGAGTTGGCGATAACAATGTTCGGGTTTTGAAATTTGAATGTGCACGTGCCACGTGCTACAAGAAAGAGTCGTTGAAGTTGAAGGGATGATGGGAATGTATGTTTCCAGGGTAGTCATTCATGGTATAGACATGAATTAGTACAGATGAAGGATTGGTACGATTGGTACAAACAGAGTACTACAGACCCATGGCTTTGTTTGAGATTGTGAGTGCGTTCAGGAAATCGGAGTCGATGGATATTCCGAAGCTTCTCAAAAGAAATAGAAGAAGACACTATCATCTTTCCCCGAACAAAATGTACCTAATCACGAGTGTATACAGGCTGCCTTTCCGGTTTGATACAGATTCATGATGAGGATGCGGTATGTGTTCGGTGAAAAAGTCGGTAAACTTAACCGAACAAAATGCACCTAATCACGAATGTATACAGGCTGCCTTTCCGGTTCGATATGGATTCATGATGAGGATGTGGATGTGGAACGGTAGAAAGGTATGTTTCTGTTGGAAGGTGCACGCAAAAAACACGCCTTTGGAGTCTGGAGTCGGGACAGCAGTATAAAAGGATTCGGTGGTAGTAGGTTACTTCTTTCTTAGATTTGGCTAACTTTGGGCCTCGCCCCACGGTGCACGAAACGAAAACGAAACGAGTGCATCTGCCCACGGAAGGTGGCAACATACACTCGTTACTATTTATAGCAAACGGATGAACCTGGTCATTTTCTGCGGGAAGATGCACTCGTTTCGTTTTCCGTTTCGTGTGCCATGCGGCGAACCCCTTTTTTTCGTTACTTCTTTTTGAGATTTGCCTAACTCTTTTTCATGAATGAGATTATTATAGACACAAAGACTGCCCACTGGGCACTGCAAGCCGCCTTTTTTTATAGATGTTTGTGTACCTGGGATTCGATCTCTGCTGGTCTGTATTTCAACAGTTGCTGGGCGTACAGAACTCACCTAGGCCCGTTTTGTAGATTTTTGTGTTCCTTGTTTCGACCCCCCCCCAAAAGGGTTGTGCTGCAGCGATGTATGCCCTGATGGGCCGGGCCTCGTCAGAATTTCAAAGATGCCCCTATAAATGTGAAAACTTATCCAGATGCCTACACCATAGGAGGACAAATAATGGACCTGGATGTAAGGTGCATTGAATCTCTTGTTGTTGCTTAAAACTTCGTTCTGACTGGTTCGCTGGTTTTAGATCGCTGACAGAAAGGGCAAGGTGCGAAATTTGTTCGGCCTGCTCGAAGGCTTTTGCTCAAACGTTTACAGCGAAAGGCCAAGGTGCTAAATTTGTTCGGCGTGCTCAAGGACTTTTGCTCAAATGTTTTGAAAACATGAGGCAACCGTCAGGTTGTGGTGACCCTGGGGGGCGCATTAGCGTCGATGGGCCTCGCTGCACTACTCTCGAAATGTGCAAAACGAGAGTGAATCTTCCGCTAGAATATGGAAAGATACACCGCCACAATTTTTGTTTTTTGTGCATGTCGAAAGTAGTGCAGCGAGGCCCAATACCTTCTCAATGTCGAGCGACCATTTGTATGTTGTTTTTTAAAATTTACATGAGAATCCTTGAGTAGAGCGGAGGGGGAAGTGTGTGACGTCGCTCGACAATTTTCCTTTTTCTCTTTCCTTAAAACTTACCGCAGATATGAGATATCGTCCACTGACGTCGATTGCCTTCATGGTTGTTCAATTTTTTGATTGCTTTCTGCTATTTCTTTTGTTCCCTCAGTTTCATTTTTCGAGTTCTATTTGCGATTTTGCGTCATTTACTTGATCCACCACGGGGTGCACAATTTCACTAGTGGTTAGCACCACAGTTGTCACCTGGGGATCCCTGGGGGCCGAGCAGGGGTGGGGGTTTGAATCCCGGACCGTCGCTGCGGGGATCCTTGACCCCACTGACCCTACCCCTCCACCCTCCCCCCCACCGGAACCCAGCCCCTGCCCCTCTACCCTGGCCGCTGTCCTGGCGCCACCCTCGCATCCACCCCCGCTTTTGCCTTGGACCCTGACCGCGAGTGTTGCCCACCTCCACGCCCGCCCCGACCAGGTTCTCCTTTGTTCGATCAGGGATCCGTCCTCACCTTTGGTATGGAAAACTGATGATGGCTTTCTCCGTGATTGCAGCTAAGGCTTTCCGCACATCGCCACTTTCCGAAATGCATCTGCCTGCAGTTGCATCCAGACTTGGATGAACCTGGCTGCAATCATGTACAGAGCTTTGCTGAAAAAGTCCTGGTGTGAGTGTAGAGTTTGTTGCCATGTTTTTGCTGGCTGTGTAGTAGTGGATCTTGTTCTTTCTTTTTGTTGTTGTTTTGTTTCCCCCGATGGACCGCTTATCAGATAGATTGATCAGAACAGGCATTATTATTTGTTTTTTTAATATATCTTTAACTAAGAAAGGTGGAGTCCGTTTTTCTTTGAAAGGCCGAACACGATGCCACGTAGGTCTACACAAACAAATGCGGTTGGCAATGAGCGTCGACTAACTGCAATTTCGGGAGCTTCCACTGCAGCATGCATTTCCTGGCCC